AAACGCTCCATTTCTCAACGCAAACAGCGGCGGAGGCAATTCAGCGCCTCGTTAATAAAACATGAGAGTTTGCAGACAGTCGGGAGTGACAGCTAACACTCACCTACACGACTGCTGCTCTGCTCCTCTAAATGTTTAATACAACAGCAGAACCCCATCATGAATTTATGAATATTAGATACTGATGCAGCACACATGATTGCAAATAGCTCTCACTGTAAACGCTGTCAGGATTCATCACGTTAAGTGTAAGTGATAGACCCAGTCAGGGCACACACCGGTCAATAACATCCTCGCACACCTTTTATTTAAAGCTTTTTATAAAGTTTTTAGCACTCGCTGTCCGTGAAGTTAAGCAGGAGATGTGTGCGCAAGAATAAATTCAGCATTTTAACTTTATAAACGGCCAAAATCTGCTTCTGTAAACACGTTTTGCTTCATTTTTCATTTGCAGAATAAGATGTTTGAATTCGTTTTATACAGAATCTATTTTCTGGTGACGATCACTGTTTGGCAATGCTTCTGTTACAGCTTTAATATCTAGATGTTGTCAACCTTAACCATATTTTTCATGTCGTCAACCTGTTTTTGTTCTTCTTCAGCAGTTCTCTCATGAAACTGAAAACCAGCTCCGCCTGAGGCCCAAAGTGACGCCTTCAGTGACTTATTTCACCCCAGAGATGCTCGGTTACATGTTAAAAACACAAAAACAAGCACGTTTTTACATGAGAGAAGCTAACTGGGAGACTGCAGGATGACAATGTGATGAAGTTACTGGGAACGACAGGGAAAGTTGTTCTTATTGAGCCGACCGGCTGCAGCTGATTCACCGAAAACAATCACACATTCTTATAGCGAAGGAAGTGTGACAGATTTTTTTCTGGATAAGTCTCATTACTGACAGATTTCCTCATGTTTTTCTGACTTTATCACATTGTTTCTTGCTGCTGCAGACATTTTTCTGCAAACTTGTAGTTAATGTGCGATGAAAAATTAATTGCCGGTCCAAACATGGAACTTTGCATCATCTGAAGTTACACAAAAACAAGCAAACTCTCTGTCGACTAACGCCGCCGCACTGACAGCTTTAAAAATAAAACGACAGAGTCACTTGGAAGAACAGGATGAAAACATGAGGCTTGGTCCTTGTGAATTTCTGATTTCGTTACAGTCACTCAGAACCTACTCAACATTTTAAACGACAACATCATTGTCGCTGTAGTCCGTTCAACCATCTTTCCGAAAAGCAAAGCATGGAGACACTGAAACAGACTCTCAACCTACGAAATTCATTAAACCCAGTTCCCATTTATTTACAGATGAGGCTTAACATTAACCTCCTGAACTCCAAGCAGCAGTTTCTGGGTGATTAAGTGTAAATATTAAATAAATGTGGTAATATAAAGCCCTGCAGCTCTGTGGAAACAGAACGACTGGAAACAGAAGGAGAGAGAACTCAGAAATGTCTTCTGTCAGTAGGACACAGTCAGAATGACAGAAATCAGGGAGGAAAAAAGACGGATGCTCCACATACTATAGATATTTACTTATTTACATTTTTAATCTGTTTCCAAACTCGTCTCCTCTCTGTTCTGTGGAAACACAGCCGGCAGTTCAGCTTGAAAATCCCTGAATTTTCATCACCTGACTGTTGGTCACGGCTGAGTCGACGATGCCTCAACTCAGGAAATGCAGAGTTTTGTGGTTTTTTTTACAGAATCTTGTCGGAAGAAACGGTTTATTTTGCTGATGATGATTTTGATGAAATATTCGTTACCATTTCCAGACAGAAGAGCACGTCACACATGACTAGTTCAAGGCCTGTCAGAAAGTCAGAAATTTGATTACTTTTCCAGTTGTTTACAGTTTCTGGCTCTGCTAAAATGTGTAATGTTTGCACGTTTTTACAGGCAATATGCCTTTCTAACACTCTAAGTATGCTGTTGTACAGTTTTCTAAAAAACCTTCTAACAACATGATTCATGTCACCGTGCAGGTCTGGCTGCTTCGGTTAGTTACATATGAAAGTCTGGTACATGGGAGCTTCATCTGTTGCCTGCTTGTTTCACGCATTCTGTGTCTTGTACAAAAACACCATAAAGAAAAATGGATTTTCAATTCTGTAGAAGTTCTGCCTTCTGTTTTACTTTAAAGTGCGTCTGTCCACCCACAAACTAACCCTGCAGTCGATGTGATGGATGGAAGTCTGCAGGGGCAACACGTCAGCCTGATCCAAACCCTCCAATGTCACTGTTTGGATTTAAGGGACGCCGTTTCCCTTTCTGGCACTGTCTTTATGTGTCCAGGTTGAAGCAGGATGCCTCGCCCTCACTGGATAAGAGACGAATCAATAACCTTCTGAACCCCAAAACCTGTTGGAAGGTGGGAAAGGTGTGTTTTCCATTTATCAACCACAAACTGTAAAAACAGAAAAACCTGTCAGATTTTCAACTTCCGATGGTCCTCGAACTAATCAAGTGTCACATGCTGTTCTACCTGGAAAATGAACCAAAACTAAGCTTAAATTATGAGATCATCATTCACATATACTATGTGTCTTATTTAATAATTCACCAAAAACAGGATGTTTCCTTTAGCAAGATTCTGCACAAGAAGTTCTGAGTTCCTCTGTGCAGCTAAAAAGTCACAGTGTTTCCACAGAGCAGAGAGGAAAATAAAACCCACTGGATCCATAAAATAAATGCAGCATGGCTCAGAAACAGTGAACAGAGGAGCAAGTTGTTGAAGATACATTCAGCATGGTGAGACATCTTCCTATGGTTGATGAGCAGAGAAGAGAGAACAAGTCTGTAAAGGCTGGAAACACAGAAATCATTAAAAATCAACCTTGGACCTGGATCTGATTCCCCGACAGTCGAGTCAGACGCCTGTCCTCCCTGAATCTGCCTGTGTCTCTCTGTAATACAATAATAATTTAATATTTTGACTTGAGTGTGTAAAGTGCCTACTTATGAATATATATCAATACAGTGGAACTGAGTCAACATGCTGCTTCTGCTTGACCTCTGATGAGCTTCTCAATTTCCCTCCACATCACTGAGAAACTCTAATTCATTTCTTTCATCGTGTCCACTTCGATAAACATGTTGTATTCGTCACTTCTTCAGTGGCAGCAGGACAAACGTTCAGCGCACTGTGACATTCTTTTTGAAAATTAGTTTATTGTGAAATAATTTTTTTTTTTTTTTTTTAAAAACACTGCTAAAAAAGAAACAGAATACCCTATAGCAAAAAAAAAGCAATCCATTTCACAATTTTTGTCAGTACCTTCCCTTGCATTGTTCCTGGAAACATTGCCGAGCTGCAAAGATGAATTAATTAGCTGTATACTGTGTAAAATATTCAACAATTTGATGGAAGAAAATGTCTATTTTCTCTCATTTCAGCTTCTTTAATGTTTATATCTTCTGTTTTTCCCTCCTTTGTGACATTAAATACGTTGCACTAAACACTGACATAAAGTCATAAAACCTACAAAACGATTTAGGTTGCAGATTTGGAAGGAATGTGCAAACTGTTTGACATGCTTAAAATCTCACAGTGTGCCATGAATAGGCAGCGTAACCGAATAAACGATCATCTAAGTCACTGCAGCTCTGAAACTGAATACTCTGGGTGCACATCTTGAACTTTTGGGACATTTTTCACTATTTTCTAACATTGTATAAGACCGAACAACTTCATATTTCTTAGAGAAATGATGGAAATGTTGGTTAGCTGCAGCTCCAAAAACACTGTAATTTAAAGCTTCTGTGACAAAATGTGCAGAACACAAACAACATTGTGTTTTTGTTTAAGTTTTATCCTTGAAGTCACAATAATTACAGGATCATGCAAACATCAGAAACGCTGTATAAACCCTGTGCTGAAAACATGGACTCAATGTGCAGCGCAGTGCAGCTCTAAACGTCCACAATCTGCCACATGACCACAGACCACTAATCACCACCAACAGTCAGGAACCAGCTTGAAACCAGCTTGATACCAGAACCAAGTACAAAATCACTCCAAAATTAGCTGAAACACAAGTCCAACACCAGTCAGTCCAAAACCAGCCTTTTTCTTTTTCTTTCTTAACAATAATATGTGACAATAACTGAGTTTTTCTGAGATATCATCTTGGACTTTGAGACATTTTTCACTATTTTCTTACCATTTATACACCAAACAACTTATTAGTTAATCAAGAAAATGATGGAAATGTTAGTGATCTGCAGCAGGAAACAAACATTTATCCTTAAAGTCACAACCGTTAGAGGACCATGCAAACATCAGAAACACTGAATGAACCCTGTGATGGAAACATGGAGGAAATATGCAGCTCAGAACCCAAAAACCGCTCAGAAACCTTTTATTCCCAGAAAATAACTGACAGTATTTATAACTGAATATAGCTGAGCCACCATCTTCTGGACTTTGGTGCATTTGCCACTATTTAGTTACAATTTTTACCCCAAACAAGTCATCATTTAATCAAGAAATGATGGGAAAACACTGCAGAAGACAAACGACTTTTACTCTTAAAGTCACAAACACCAGAGGATCATGTCAACATCAGAAACACTGTGAAGCCCATGATGGAAACATGGACCAAACATGCAGCACAGTGCAGCAGCTTTAACATCATGTGAAGCAGCTCCAGCACCAACTATCAGCACATCCAGTCCAGCAGCCTCAGCATTGATCCTCAGCACCAACATGCAGGAATATTAATGTGAGATGTGATGATGGAGCTCCAACAGGCCGCTCAGGACGCAGACACTTGATCGCATATTAAAGCCACTATAATTAGACTCCTCTGATACCCCCGAGATGCGAAAGGTCAGTAAACTGAGCAGAGAGTCACCACAGATTTCATCAGGACTCCCAGAGGCAACATTACAGCAACACTGATCTGCGCTGCAGCTCGATGTGCAACATTAAATACAGATTAAGCAGATTTCCTGCAGCAGCAGCAGCAGCAGCAGCAGCGCTCCTACCTGTGCAGTCCTTCCCTTTGCCTTTGCACTCTCCGCTCTGAGGGTAATAAGATGCTCGAGCCTCCGGCAGGTACAGCAGCAGGGACAGCAGACAGGCGGACACCAGGTACCGGACAGCGGCGCCGGGACGCCCGTCACACCTCCCAGGGCCTGGCAGCATGATGATGCCGGTGACGCTCCGACCTCCAGACGCACGAAGCCGCCCCGATCTGCGTTCAGGTGGAAAGACGTGCAAACAGTTAAGCGTTAATCCGGCAGGGAGCAGCCCGGCCGCCGCACGCTGAGTCCCGCAGAGAGCAGCGCAGAAAGTCCGCTGAAGGTGGAGGAATGCGCGCGGAGCCGTTCAAGAAGCCTCGGAGGCGGTCCGGTCTGTCCGGGCTGGAAGCAGCGGCAGCAGCCCCGCCATCCGTCCGTCCTCCGCGTCTTTTTCGGGCAGATTTCTCCACTGTCTGTCGGACGTCGCAGCGATTCTCCCGCGTCCCGGATCCCGGTCGGAGTGATCACCGGGGCGCTCCGGCTCCGGTTTACCGCGCGGTGAGTGAAGCGGCTCGGAGGAGACGCGGTGCGTAAAGAGAGCAGCAGCTGCAACCACAACAAAGAGATCCGGACCGAGAGCAGGACAGACAGGCTGCTGGTCACGTGAGAGGATGCAACACTCCCCTCCACCTCCACGCCCCTCACGTACGCGCGCACGCACGCACACCTAAAGCACAAATACAAAACGCAGCAGCAGCAGCATGAGGGCCGCAGCAGCGAAGGATTTAAAATGACACTGAGACCACAAAAAAAAAAACAGCTGCAGACAGACAGATCTGTGGAAAGTTTCTCATAGGGATGAGAAATGATCTCAGTGCCCAGCTCATCCTGTGCTCCTGCCAAAACCAGTTTAAACGCAGGCTAAACCAGTCCGAAACCAATTCAAACCCTCCAGGAGATAAGTCCAAAAACCAAGTAAACAACCAGTCTAAAACCAGCCCAGAACAGGCCAAAAAACAGTTCAAAACCAGTCTAAACACTGGCTAAAAACAGCCCAAAAGCAGTCCAAAAAAACAGCCCAAAACCCAGAGTAATCAAGTTGAGAAACTGTCCAAAAACTAGCTCTAAACCAATCCAGAAACCAGTCTAAATATAGGCTAAAATCAGTCCAAAACCAATCCTAAAACAGCCTCCAAACCAGTTCAAATCCGACCTAGAACAGGTCAAAAACAAAAAATAAAAATAAAATAAAAATTTTAAAAAGACTCCAAAACCAGTCCACACATAGTTATTTATATGTTTGCAGATCAAAATTTATGCATTTTAAAAGAAGAAAATGTCGTCATTTCCAGGCAGCTACAGTCACAGTTAATGATGATTACAGTGTCAACACTATTTAAATACAGTGTGTTACTGTAAAGTCTAGTCACAGTGGTAAACAGTGAACCTCATATTGTACTGTAGAGGCTGTAATCAATCATACAGTAATTAACAATGTAAACAAATTAAGATAGAAACACTGTAGAATACAGTAAATGACTGGCAACCCCAGCTGCAAGTATTCAGTCTGTTACAGCGACACTTATTCCCTGATCTTATAAAGAATTTAATCACAAATAACCTGCTGCATTTAGATTGTTGACCTGCACAAATGTTGCGTTCTAACCTTTGATTGGAAACCTCAGAATTGTCAGTTTCTCTTCAGAATTTCACAGTGATGGTTGGACTGATATCTACCTGAGCTGGTTGTAAAAACCGAACCCAACATGACTCATTAAACGTCCACATTGGCTGGATTAATATTTACACAGCTCTGATTGGCTCACAGCCCCGTGTTGGCACCGCTGGCTCTGCACCAGGACGGACTGGACTCATTTGGCTGAAGGCCGCTCAGCCAGCTGCTGTCAGTTTGTCGTCTCTCCATCACAGTTTGTCACGACAAGCTGGAAGCAGCAGGATCTGCCAAAACCAGTCCAAACACCAGTCCAAAACAAGCCTAAAACCAACATAAAACCATTCAAAACAAGTTGAAAAAAACAGTCCAAAACCACTCCAGAACCAGCCTAAAATCTGCCTAAAATCAGTCCAGCACACGGTCCAAAACCAGTCCAAATACCAGGCCAAAATCATTATTTTTTTTTAAAAATGCTTAAAACCAGCCTGAACACAGGCTAAAACCAATCCAAAACCTGCCTAAAAATGAGTCCAAAACCCAGATTACAATCAACCTAAAACCTGACAAAAACCATTTGACAAAACCAGACTAAAACCAGGAGAAAATTTTTACAAAACCAGACTAAAAGGATTAAAAATCCAGTCCAAAACACAGTAAAGAACCAGCTTAAAATCTGCCTTAAACCGGTCCAAAACATAGTCTAACACCAGTCTGAAACCAGTCCAAAACAAATCCAAAAATCCTGCTTAATCAGTCCAAACCTAGCCTAAAACAACGCAAAACACAGTCCAAAACTGTTGGTAAGACCAGCCTGAACACAGGCTAAAGTCAGTCCAAAACCAGCCTAAAAATGAATTCAAAACCAGACTAAAAATAGTCTAAAACCAACCAAAAGCCATTCAAAACAAGTCGAAAAATCTGTCTAAAACCACTCCCGAATCAGTCTAAAACTTACCTCAGATGTGTCCAAAACCAGTCCAAAACCAACCTAAAACCAGCCCAAAGATAAGTCCCAAGCCAGCCTAAAACCAGTTGAAAAACGAGTCCAAAACCACCCAGAACCAGCCGAAAACTTACCTAAAACAAGTCCAAAAACCAGTTGTAAAACCAGCCCTGAACACATGCTTGCACCAATCCAAAACCTGCTTAAAATGAGTTTAAATGCATTCTAAACCCAGACTAGCACCAACCTAAAACCATCCTAAGTGCAATCTAAAACCAGTCCAAAAATCAATCTGATAAAAGTCAACAAACTAGTCCAAGACCAAAACGAGTCAAAAACCAGTCCAAGTTACAAGCTGTATTTAGACTTTTGTCCAGCAGAAAGGTTGTGTTATATTGTTTAATTGGAAACAAAAGATTTAGACCTTCCATTAGGGCTCACAGTGATGGTTGGACTGATATCTACCTGAGCTGGTTGTATAAACAGGACCCAACACGACTCATTAAACCTCCACGTTGGCTGGATTAATATTTACACAGCTCTGATTGGCTCACAGCTCCGTGTTGGCACCGCTGGCTCTGCACCAGGACGGACTGGACTCATTTGGCTGAAGGCCGCTCAGCCAGCTGCTGTCACTTTGTCGTCTCTCCATCACAGTTTTTTTTTTTTTTTTTTGACACGCTGAAAGCAGCAGCAGCAGCAGCAGCAGCAGCAGCAGTGATCCTCTGCGGTGCTGTTGGACACGGTTGGTTCCACGCCGGCGGCTGAACAGCTCTCCGGGGCGCTATCACCGGCTGCCAGACGGCAGAGTGGAGCGAGGCCATTCTAAATCACTCACAACTCTGCTGATTAGCTTCCTGGACGAGGTTGAAGACCTTCCACAAGGTGTGAAAGGAGAGACCAGGGCAGAGATAAAGAAGCCTGATGATTTATTTCACATCACACTGACACTGAGAGAAGCAGAAAAGACTGGCAGGTCAAAATCCAACAGACGAACACTCATTATCAGGACCAGGACACTCCTGAACCTGCAGCAGGTGAAAAGCTTCAGCGCTGCTTCTGTTAATGCAGCTTCACAGCAGTAAAGGTGGACAGTAGAGACTACGGCTGCGCAAATATCGTAAGACAGTATTAAGCTGATCATGAAAACATGGGCTTAATATGAAATATAGTGCAGCTTTAAACATCCACAAGATCCAACATCCACAATTTGTCCACCAGCACAGTGTGACATCACATGACCACAGGCCACAAGGCACCATGGGCAGGGAACATCAGCCTAAAGCCAAGTCTAACACCAGCCTAAAACTAGTCCAAAAGCAGCCAGACACAAGCCTAAAAACAATTCCAACATTAGGCTAAAACTAGTCCAAAACCATGCTAAAAACCAACTCCAAATCCAACCTGAAACCCCCCTAAAACCAAGTCCAAAACCAGTCCATAACTACAGAATTATCATGACCAAAACCAGCATAAAACAAGCCTAAAACTAGTTAAAAACTAGTCCATGACCATGTTGAAAATCAAGGCTAAAACAAGTCCAAAACCCACTCCAAAACCGGCTTAAAACAAATCTAAAACCAGTTCATACTAGTCAATGACCATGTTGAAGACCAAGACCAAAACCAGTACAAAACCCACTTCAAAACCAGCCTAAAACCAGCTTAAAACCAAGACCAAAACCAATCTAAAACAAGCCTGAAACCAGTCCAAAACCAGCCTAAAACCAGCTAAAACCAAATCCATAACCAGACCAGAACCAGCCTAAAGCAAGTCCAACACAAGGCTAAAAATAGTCCAAAACTACAGAGAGCATGAAACTAATCAGCAAATCAATACCAAACATATTAACATATTTACGGATTTTCTGCATCACCAACTGAGTAGATGAAGGTTCCTGTAGCAACACAACACATATAGTGTTTGTATTAAAGTCCTCTGGCTATGAGGTTTATCCTGGTTTCATCATATTTATTTACATATTATTGAGCTCATATGAGGATCGTTCACGTTTCTGCTGTTATTTAAACAAACCATGCAACAGTTCCACATGATATTCCAACAGACCAGAAGTCAAACTGCACATTTAGACCAGTGTCTGAGTCTTTTACACATAAAATCCTGTTTTTAGACGCAGCAGCACATGATGAAGATGAGTTACTGCCCTGTTAGTGTGTAAAGCTGCTTTTATGACACATCGTCCACTCCAAAGCTCCATAAATACCTTTAAAGGAAAATAAAAGCTTCACAAGACTGAGATCCACTCATTCTGTTTCTTCTGGAGAAAAGCTGCTTCTCTTCCCTGTATCACATTTTTGTTTTTACTCAGACAGATTGATCTCCACTCAGCAAAAAGCCAAAGAAACTAAACATTAAAACTAGTTATGAGGCCAATTAAACAGAAATAATTATTAAAACCTTTTGCCCTGTGTTTCAGTAGGTAAGAAACTACAGTCAGTGCTGTTCTGAGGCCTCATCTCGCAGGAGGTTTTGTCTTAATTTCTCACTAAGCTTCATCAGCTTTGGTCGCCTGTTTGAGGTTTAAAGTGAAGCCCGACAGTCGTCAGATTATTCCTGCCGCCATATGTTTCCATCCATAGAATCACAGCTTACCTGGTGCTGCTATATGTTCAGCAGTAGCTGTGTCAGGAAAAGATCTGTGCAGTCCGGAAGGTAAAAACAAATGTGGAACAAGCATGTCAAGAGGTTTTCCAGATAAAATGAATACAAAGTGTAAAGGGAGCTTTTTTCTTATTGTTGAGAAAATTCTGATTTTTACAGCGATTAGTATCCAAAAAATGTGGAAACAGTTCCACAAGATAACAACGTAAGTGTTTAATGTTGTGTTTGTCTTCTTG